CAAGGAATTAAATTGCTTGACATTTTTACCCAGATTGCACTGGGTGAAGTCACAGGCTAGTTAAGGCGTGTAGTGAGTTGCGTTACGTTCGCGTTAAATCCCGTGCACATAATTATACATCAGAAATTTCAAACTTAGTGTACACTCACATATCGGTGTTTGTCTGTCACGTTTAAAATAATGTTTTAATTTAAAAATACCTATGTATTATGTGTACCTATTATATACCTATGTATCATTGTTGTATAATACCGATAGGTATATGCGCGCAATGAGCACATAAACAAGTACACCTATACGCGTACCTTACGTTCGGCAGCAAAGATTTTTTTTATAAAACAACTTAAACTTGAATTGATTGCTCCACTTTTATTGATGCAACAACTATTGGTGTCAGCGATACAATGTCAACAGCAAAAATTTGTTCTGCTGAATAAGAAATCTCAATTTAAGTTAATATTAAATTTTATTTACCATAATTCTACAAACTTGAATTGCGACTGAATTGTTAAACATGTGTTTGAACTTGATATAACCAAATGTAAATATTACATGTAAATAAAATGTACTTAACTTAATCATGTAAAAATTATACTTAATTTTACTAATTTGACTGCACGGATGGCGTAGTGGTTTAAGCGGTCGCCACGCCGCTTCCTACTACGCTGAATGTTGTGGGTTTGATCCCCACATGGGACGACACTTTGTGATCCACAAATTGTCGCTCTGAGTCTGGGTGTTTTTTGTGTCCGTTTCATGTGCATCTGTTTTAAAGTCCCCCGTGACACGGGATATATTCCTAATGCGGGAGTTGTCGTTTTAAAAACGGTTATTGCTAAAATTACATGGTATAGTTAATATTTTAAGTACTCGGAATTTTAATCTTAGACGTTTAAGCTCAGGTATAAAAAAAACAATACTGACATTTAACATTTGGGTTCCCTCTACCTGGCAGAATCTTGATGCTCCGAAATTTATTTCGCGTAACACACTTGGCAGAATCTTCTTTAAACGAATATTTTTAAGGCATAAAAGTTATTTAGTATAATTATTGTTTCGCCAAATGTTAATATGTCCGAAATTACAATGGCATACTATTAAGATCGCATAATTTTGTTTGCATAATTACCTTTTGCAGAGTTAAAATGCCGTGTAATTTCGTTTAGCATAACGTTTATTTAGAGCTACAATTATTTGCTAGAATTTCATTTAGAATAATTTTATTAGGCATATTGCTATAAAGTAGCATTTGTAACCATATATTTAATGATTATCTTGAAACGTCATAATGTCTTGCTACAAAAATTCTACAAATGAAGTTTATACTACCTGTTAATTAATAGTAGTAGTAACAGAAGCACAAATCAAAGTTCAGTTAGCAATTGTTAGTCATGAATAGAAAACGAAACAGTCCAAAAATACAAGCCAAGTTTTCAACTAGGTTCTACTTAATTCTTAATACTCTCTTTCATCTAAGTTTTTTCTACGAATTCTTATAGTATCCTAAACTATTATACCTTGTTAGATAGCTGACAACACGTACATGTTTTTAACATATCTAAAGATTCTTTTTTAATTATTCATTAAAGATTTTTTTTTCTTTTTTTTTAGTTTTTGTTATTATTAACCAGCTACTTCGGCCCAGTCTGTTAAATCAGAAATTATGGCAACTAATTACAACCCCTTAAAATATTTAGAACGGCTTACCCTGTATATTGGTCAAATAAATAATAAGAGTTTTTAAAATTATTTAATCTAAGTAGACTAGGCTGTACCTAAACTAAATTCTTCAGCATTCCTACTTCTTAGAGTTTACGAATTTCAGCGGGTTAAAAAGAGCCACTCTTTGGGAATAACTAACAGGTCTTAGATATTATATAAAGTTTTCCATCAAAATAGAGAGGTAATCATTCAAATCCGTCCGAGACCGTGTGGTGACGGATTAAGAATACAAATTGTCACCACCTCAATTCATCCCGTGGGTGTCGTAAGAGCCGACTAAGAGAGCAAACTAAGCAGGACAACAGCACTGCAAAGAGAAGGAAAACTTGAAACAAACCCTATACCAACCCGTCTGGCCAGCGTGGTATAGTAGGCCAAAACCTCCTTTCTAAGGAGAGGCCTATGTCCAGCAGTGGACTAGTATAGGCTGTTGATGATGAATCATTCAAATCAAGGCCATCGCAGTTATGTGAACTTAGCGACACACTAAGTGTGAGGTTTGTTCGCCAATCGCCAGTATGAAATTTTAATAAAAATAATTAATTTGTATAGGATAAACCCTTTTCCAAAAAAGTTGAACCGACTTCAAACAATACTAATAAAGAGCACTAGAACTAGCAGCAATCGCGGTTGATTTGCGGGAATTTTTAACCCCCAACGGAAAACAGATTAAACTGTGTATCTGTGTAACTGTGTATCTGTCTGTCTGACATGGCATAATGGCTCCCGAACTGATGGACGAATTTCGAAGCGGATTTTTTTTGTTCGAAAGCCGATATGATCGAGATAGTTCTTAGCTATAAATTTTGATGATCATCATATCGCTTCCTAGGTGATCTAGGGATCTCACTAAAATCCACAGGTCCGATTGATCTGAATTTTGGTATACTGGTACTTTGATGGTGATTCCACGACATGGTAACCTGAAACTTCCTCAATCAATTTGTTCATCCAAAGGTTGCCTGTACGAGATTGCTGTTAGCGATAAGGCCGCCTATTGTGCATATCCGTCTGTAATATTTATCTAACATATTGTAATTGATGTACAATAAAGAATATTCTGTTCTGTTTTGCAGTTTTTGACCTAGTATCGCGATATGTGTACACCTAGATAGTTTTTACAATCAAAACTCAGAAATCATAGATTTATGCGTTACTTAAAACCAGGAGCGTGGTAGAAACTGTAAAATTCAGTCAGAGTTCTGCAATCGCATAATTGCCGGTGAACAAATTGGTTTTATTGATGAAAAAGAAAGATCAAGAGTCTGTAAATTACGGAATCGCAAGACTTAAAATAGTTAATAAATTAGATTTTGCTTTAGTTTCTACTTTGATTAGCGCAATGGTTCAAGTGATCGCTTTATATTATATGGTAAACGAGACGTTTTCATGTCTGGGTTTGATTCACTCATGAATAATAGTTATTATGTTAATTGTGATATTTACCAAGGATGTCATTATGTTCGTTAATTGTTCGTTAGACCCTGGTGTCGGCGCCGATATCAGCCGTCGACGGGGCCGCGGGCCGCCAGAGAGTGGGGACCTCTGGTGGCAGATTGATTGCTGCGGTAGGGGATGGAATGGCCGGCCTGATTGCATTAAGATGCGATCGGGCCGCCATGTCGCGATTGAAGGGGAAGTGTTCTCCCCTGGGATAGGGCCTGATTAGGCATGGTGTCAATTCGGGGAGGACCTGAAATAACATGGTCCGGGTACTCCCCAGAGTAGGACACCTAAGGCCGGCCGTCGGGGTGGTTTTTAGTGGAATCTCCACATACTCCTGGCTCCTGAGTCCCCGAGGAGCAGGAGATCCGAAGGGATTTTCCACCCCGTCAAAAAAAAAAAGACCCTGGTACATAACAATACAATAGATACATAACAAAGGAAACTGATTTAGTTTTTCAAATAAAACTATAGTTTTATATTGTTTAATATATTACTGTAAATCCTTGTCCTCCTCCTAAGTGTTGTAGGTTCGATACTCACATGGGACGACACTTTGTGTGATCCACAAATTGTCGTTGTGAGTCTGGGTGTTCTTTGTGACCGTTTCATGTATGTATAAAGTCCCGCGCGACAAAAAAAAACCGTTTACAGAAGTTGTAAAAAGTTATGTAAGATCTGCGCCGATGAAGTGGTAACTTTATTAATACAAGCATGTCAAATGTAACACTATTTAGTTGTGTAACAATGATTGCATACCAAAGCGATTTAAAGAGAAACGTGCTAAGTAATACAATTAGTTTAGTAAATTTTTACAACTCATAGTACACTTCGATAACAAGAGTCATTAGTTATTTTGGCAACAAAGTCAAAAAAGAATTTACAACTTAAAATTACTAGCTTTGCGTAAATAGTATGCATATTGATTAAGGATATAAGATTGTATCCAAATGTGCATTTTAATGATGCCCAACTAGTTTTGGGATTAACAGTGGCAGGCCAGCGTAGATCATAAACACAAGATGAAAATCACGAAATAGTTGGGCATATCTGAAATACATACCTCAATACAACCATTTAATAAACACGATTATGGATCACGGAACTCATTATTTCATTAATATTTGATTGGTTGGTGTCAATTGTGCTTGCAAATGGCAGTGTTACTCAAGTGATTTATGGGGTATAAATCAGACATCGGTCTCATTTATCAGTGGTATTACTTTACACAGTGTCAAAAACTCTTCTAGTCTTACTACAAATTTGCATCATACTGGGATTTGAGAATACAATATATATATAGTAGGAAGGATGCCAGTGAACTCACCTGATAGGTAGAGTAATTCCCCATTCCGACATTATCACGAATTCGAGTCTCATCGTAAGTGTTGACTTTAAGATATACACATATTTCGCCTGGTAATAGGTCTGATGTAAGAGTTGGAAGGCTCAGCTCGCCTTTCTGATTTCATTTAAACGCTTCAATACAAAATTAATGAGATTACTGTGCGATAGAAAACCATTTGCATGTGTAGCGATAGTAGTGGTTATTCGTCCTACGATTAGTAACCTACATCGCAAATCACAGTAGGCACTTACAAAACTGTAAAGTAATCCATACTCGTTTTATTTGATACTTATATCACTGATTTATAACTAATAAGTAGATACAGTTTCGAAACACTTCAATGTCACTCGTATTTTCACATAAATACGCACAATAAGAGGCTTAAATGATTTAGTTAGCAAAACCTTTACAAGTACTTACTGTACCTATGGCAACAATTAATTTCATGAAAATAATTATGCTACATTTTAAATTAATAATATAATCATCATAGCTCAGGTAGTGTAATCATTTTTAACCAAGTGTCTTTTACAGATTTAACTTTAGCTCCCTCCAAACCAAGCCCGAATGGACTGTTTGCTGTTGTCCGCAAATAATAAAGTCCACGGGTTGCTGTCGATGAGCCATATCCGAGAACGGCGTACTTATCCTTTTCACAAGAATTAGTTTCAAAATGTTTCCAACTTTGACAGCGAATAGCCATAAAAGATTTTGGTGTTCTAATACTTTCTGTGTACACTTGGGCCGCTCGAAGATGGCTGCAGGAAGGCATAATGCAACCCGGTTGATTAGGTCCTCCACCGTTAATGTAAAAGTCTGCATGGCCTAAAGGTTCAATGACCCCTTGAACCAACCGGTTGGAATGGATTACATCTACGTATGCAGCATCTGTTTTGTCTAATCTCTGACTGCTGTAAGTATATGAAAAACATGGGCCCGCGGGATCGAGGCCTGTTATCCGTCCCAAGCTGTGGTTTTTATACTGTTTAAAGTATTTACCAGTCCAACCTGCGATATGTGCTCCAAGACTTATTCCAAGCAGATGAAAATCTTCAGCATTAGCCCCAAAATTCTCAAGGTTCGCTAAAAGATTTGCGAGCCTCTTGCCTATGAGACGCGCATTGTGTGCCGATAAAATATATCCTTCTTTATTCATTTCTTCAGCATCAACTAAAAACACGTTAAACATTTTTTTATCGTTGTACGCACGCGCCAGCTGCAAAGGTACCGCTGATTGTGAATTATCCTTATATCCATGAATAACAACTTTTGTTTGCTTCGTGATATCGAAAATCTCAGGTTTAGTTAAACTTACAAATGCCTCATTTATCGGAAAAGATCTCATGATATTTTCATCTAATTGTATAATCTTTATCGTCTTTATTAGGTCACTTTGGCCGTTCATTGCTTTATATTTTAAATCCATGTATGCTCGACCTGGAAAAATATAAGTGTACCGAATTAAAATAAACATTAACGAAAGTTAAAATTGTTATCATTGTAATAAATGTAGTACGATCGCATATATATTACAGAAGTCAAGAACAGCCACTCACATGCACCGGACAATCTTGCGTAGACCGACTCGGCGAAGGTAAGGTCAGACTCGGTGCGACGCGTTTTCATAGCTGCAGTCATAGCAAGTGACGAGGCTACCAAGTACGCGACGACAATCAGCGGCACTGCAACGCTGTTATAGTACATGGCATGAGCCCTGACGCTGACGCCAACACGGTCACTATGTCACTGTCTGTAAAGAGAGAAAGGTACGTTTCGCACTACCTGCTTCCAACGGACAACTGCGTTGGAAGGGGTTATCTAGTGCAAAATAGCGCCTACAGCATTCACTATCAGGCGGTCATTGACCATGGCACTTTTTTTTTAAACAAAATCATTTACTTAATTTTACGCCTGGTCTGCAGCGGGAACTAAAACGTTTAAGCCCAAGCCTAAAAGTATTTTTTTAAGAAATATGATATTAATTCACACGTAAAATTTTTAAATAAATTTCTTTTATCACCCCTTACATTTCATACAAATAATTTTATTACTACACCTGTAATCTAAGTCTTTGTGTAAATGTATGTAATTGTTTACTATGTTCGTTTTTGCTCATATTAGTAGATTTTGCAATGGTATAATTATTACGATCATATTTCAAAGCAGTTTAAAATGTAGCGATCTTAAATAAAATAATTCAACTATTGTCCATCTAATCTAAGAGGTACCGTTTGACGTTTCTTACTTTTCACACTTTTCACTTACTGTACAATTCTTGAAAACTAAATTTAAATTGAATCTTTGAATCAAAGCAAAATAACCAATTTATACACAATAGCTGTTTTTTTTTTCAAAGTCAGGACCTTTACCGTGTTGAGGCTCTTAAAATTCACTTGATTACAAATAATCGTTAAAGTGTAGCAAAAATTGAAGTTATTAATTACGAATCATTTTCATTCCAGACGTCTTCAAGTATCTAATAATACTTAAAATTCATCTAACATCCAACTGTCAACGAAAACGCATAATTATAATTAAAATTATGTAAGTAAATGGAATTTTAAAGAAAACTTTGTAGGCAAAATCGATCGTTTCCAAGTCTAGTGTATGATAATATTTACTAGTAAACCTTTGATATTACACGGGCTTTTATAGTTACATACATAAATCTGTAAAACTGTAATCGATTTGTACATCCTAAGGAATGTTATCGAGATCTCTTAAGAATTGGATAGTGTAAAAATCGATTTCTTTCACAACTGTCAAACGTTACCTTGGATGGACTATAAGTTACATAATGATGCTATAGGCCGACAGTTTATCTGAGTCCTCGCCTGCGCGGTAACAGGGGCGCGGGGGTATGACGACAAAGGGGACTGAGACAGGTGCGGGCAGCAGGCGAATTTTTGTGATCGATCATTTCGATCGCAAAGCGGACAGCGATCGCACGTGTTGATTTTTGCGGACGACTTGTGAGAGATACACATGTGATAACAATCTCAAGATGAATTGTAAGATCTTCGGTCATAAAGTGAATAGTCAGTGCAAGCAAATGGCTTTAAACGTGTACGAATATTTTAGAAAAAAGAAACTGGACAAAACAAACAAGTTCTGTTGAATATCAACAAGACATAGATTTAAACAAAACCGTAGCAGAAGTTACTGGACTATCGGAAAAGACTGTATTTAGAATCGTACATCAAAGGAAATTATTGAAAGACAACGAAAGATTCAAATCACCGAAAAAATCAAAACAGGTTCGCAAAAAAAGAGTTGAAATAGACGATTTCACAAAAGGAGTGATAAGAAGAAAAGTCACTCAGTTTTATACAATTGATAAAAAAAATACCTACTCTGAAAACGTTGAATGCTGTAATTAGAGAAGAGAATATATTACACTGCGGAAGGGAATATTTAAGGCTGTTGTTACATGACCGAGGTTTTAAATTTAAGAAATGCGGTTCTAAAAGGAAACTCCTTATTGAACAGCCAAATATAACATCGTGGAGGTGGAAATACCTAAGGACTATCAAAAAATATCGTAGATAAGGGACATACTTTATATCTTGACGAAACATATGTAAATGAGTCTCATAACGTTTCAAAATACTGGCAATCCAAGGATGTACATGGCGTACTATCGCATATTGGAAAAGGGAACCGTTTGATCATCGTACATTGTGGAGGTCAAACTGGATTTGTAGACTGAGCACTTGTGATATTTAAATCTAAATGTAAAACAGGTGATTATCACGATTCTATGAATTTCGTGAATTTCAGTAAATGGATAAATGAAAAGCTAATGCCCAATATACCACCAAATTCCGTCATCGTGATGGATAACGCAGCTTACCATTCGGTTCGAGAAGAAAAAAAGCCGACTATGGCTTCTACCAAGGCAGTTATGCAAACATAGTTACGACGACACGACGTGGTTTTCGATGATAAGCTGAAAAAGGACGACTTATCAAAATTGATTAAAAAGACAGAAACTGAAGATATTTATAAAATTGACGAGTTATTGAAAAGAAACGGGCATGAAGTATTGCGTTTGCCTCCTTATCACTCAGACCTGAACCCTATGGAGTTGGTTTAGGGTGACATTAAGGGGCAATTAACACAAAAAAGTGTGGACTCTAATCTAGACCAAAAAATTAATAATTATTTGCTGCATATTCTGCACAGAAGTGGAAGCATTATGTTAACCATGTAATTAATATCGAGGACGAGTACTGCAAACATGATGGAATTCGGGATGATGCTGTTGATTTTATTATTAACACTCTGGACGACCCTGATGAATCCGATGATGACTCCTTCGAAAGTGAAGAATCAAGTTCCACCGACATTGATATGGACATAACTGATTTAAATATAATTTTGATGATTATTCTATATAATAAATAGTACAATAGTTTATTACCAAATATTTTATTTACGTACCTTCATAGCTTTTAGTTAGTTAATTAAAATTTTGTACTATCATTAATAATTTTTCATTTAATAAATCACTATTTCTTTACTATGACGTCACATATCTTAGGAACTATCTTGGCGCATTTCATCTCGTGTGTATACTAAGCGCCCCCGCCGCCCGCACCTGTCTCAGTCCCCTTTGTCGTCATACCCCCGCGCCCCTGTTACCGCGCAGGCGAGGACTCAAATAAACAGTCGGCTATAATTCTGTTATTGACACAACTAAATTAAAACTTCTCTAAAATTCTCTTATGAGGTGATTTCCAAAATGCTATTCTGTTATCAAGTCGAACTAAATTATCATGTGATCATTAAGACAGCATTAAATTTAAATCTGACATAGGTAAAAGCTAATAAGCAAAGTGTTACCGTTGTTTAAAATTAAGAACGAATGATAAAGAGTAACTTAAAAAATATATTTTGTAATGATATTATCAGGCTTTTGAAATGCCTGTAAATAATTATTAATGCAGATAATAGATCAAATAGTAAACAAATTGTTGTATTTCTCAGTTATAGCTAAGTAAACACAGTTTTACTCAACTCAAATTCTCACAATCTATTCAAGTAAACTTGGCATGATAAAAGAATAGGTACAATAACATCCATCCAATTGGAAATAAATACATAAGCTAGAGCAGTACTTTAGGAGGGCTCGCAAAGTTTTTTACCTAGTAATAATTTTGAAGGCGGTTTTTTTAAATCGAATTATCTTTTAACATGTGAATTATTAATATGGGATTAATTAATTAATTAATATTATCTAAACACTATTTACATAGATATTAATTCTTTAGTTTTCTAACAGGAGGCGTAAGTGGTAATAGTCCACAGTAGAAAAAATGTTAAGGTATAGTTTTATAGTTTACGACAGAAGGTTAATAATACCTTTTTTTTTTTTAACGTGTGGAAATCCCCTCGGACCGTCACCCCACCGGGGTTTGCGGCGGGGTGGTGTGTCGGACTCGGACCGACTAAAACCACACGGTGTGCCACTCTGCGCCTGTAATAGGAGGGATCCGGGAACAGCTGTTATTAAGACATCCGGACCCCTCCTAGCGCCGGCCCGCTCCTGTTGCGGGCTCAGTCTCAAAATTTTCCTCTCTTTAGGCGACGTCCGGCACACGCGGACGCCGTCCCCTCGCGGCTGGCCAAACTAATGCGGGTGGAGGGGAAACCCACCCGTCCACCCGCGGCCACACTCAGGGCGGCATGAGGCGGTGATAAGCGCGCCTCCGCCTCCCGGTTCGCCGGCGGCGGATCGGGTCCGAGTGGAGGTCGTCCTCCCGGGCCTTCTCCGCCGCCTCTTTCTGCGAGATTACTTCCTCGCAGAAGGTTGCGACCGCGGTAAAACAACTGTCCCTACCGGCCATGGAGCGTACTACGGCCGGTAGCGAGAGATCCACTCCGATGACTGCAGTGTGGGCCCGGCGCTGCGTCGCCCATGCGGGGCAGACCGCCAGCGTGTGCTGGGCCGAGTCCTCACTGCAGTCGCAGTGGTGGCAGGCGGGACTCAGTTCCCTCCTAGCGACCGAGTGCAGGTACTTTCCGAAGCAACCGTGCCCGGAAAGCACCTGCGTCAGCCGGAAGGTAAGGGTCCCGTGCTGCCGCCCTGCCCACTCGGCGATGACCGGCTGGAGAGCCTCCACGGCGGCGAAGCCAGCGCGTGGAGTCTCCAGCCGGAACGACCAACGAGCCATCGTGGCTCGACGAGCGGCTTTGCGCCACTCGCGCACGTCTTCGGGCGGAGGGCGAAATCCGCTCTCCGCCCGAGAGTCAGCCACTCGCCGATAAACTTCGGCGAGCACTTCCGCCTCCAAATCCCACGGGGGAGTTCCGGCCAACGCGCACGCCACCTCTGTCGAAACGGTGCGGTAACCGCGTATGGCTCTGACCGCCATTACCCTCTGAGGGCGCCAGAGGCGTGCCCTATTCTGGGCGGTCAGAGCCGCCGCCCACACCGGTGCACCGTATAGTGCCAGTGCCGGACAACCCCCGTGTACAGCCGTCTTGTCGCGACGCTGGGTCCACCCATATTGGGCAAAAGTCGCCCTAGGGCAGACGCAACGCCGACCAGCTTTGGAGCAAGCTGTCGGAAGTGCTCGTCGAAGAGCCACCTCCCGTCGAGGATCAGGCCCAGATATTTCATCTGGGCCCGAACCGGTACGAGGACCGAGTTGACCACGATTGAGGCGCCAGGGGGTGGACCACGACGGGGCCCATGAAAT